GCCGGCCAGCCACCATTTTTGGTTTGCTGGCCACTAGTGAAAATTGAGTAGAGTGTTTGTGAAATAGAGCACAGTTGTTCTGGAAGAGGAAAACTAGTGCAAAGGTTGTAGAAACCCACATTTTATGTCCTCATCATGTTCATGAGCATCTGTATGATTATGACTTGTTAAGTTTGCATGTGTATGTCTGTGATTTGTTTCGCTTGAGCTAATGTGATCCATGCCTTGTTTTGAAGCTTTGTGATTTGTCTAAGTGTAGTATGCATGCCTTGTTCCTTCCTTAATGTGAAACTTAGGTCACGCCTTGCCTGAGTTATGCTAGCCGATGTTATTCCAAGCCGAGGTCATCCTTAGTCTAGTAGTAGTATCTTGGAACCCCTTGTTGACCTCCGTACCCATTTCGATGTCATATTGGGAATGGATTGGTTAGTAGCGAACCATGCATCCATTAATTGTGTTACTAAGAGCGTCACATTGAAGACCCCAAATCTAGCCGAGGTCATTTTCCAGGGTAAAGGAGTAGTACCCCCACCTTACTTAATCTCATCCATGAAGGCCTACAAGTTGATCCAAATCTTGGATATCAATCATGCAAAACCTTTATTTCTAATATCATTCACTGAGTATCCAAGCTCACCCTCTCTATATATATGTAGGTGATGAGCAAGAAGGCAATGAGGCCTAGACGTGTAGCCGATGTGTTTTTGGGTGCATTGCCGACGTGTTTTGGATTAGCATTTTGTACCATCTTGAAGATTATGCTTCTTAGCCTATATTTCATGTGTACTTGTATATGTCGGCTTGAGAAGCCTTTTGGTCAAGATGTATTTTGTATCTCATTCCCTTATTGTATTTAAGTTGTAAGACTTTGTAAAAATGTATGTCATTTCATTGGACTTAAGCACGGCTCTCATGGACTATTTAGATTCTGTATATACATATGTTGCTTCCGCACTTGTAAGCCCCATATTTTATACTCTGATCATGTGTGATTCTTGTAAGTCGGCCTTCGGTAATCTCTAATTACTGGCCATCACGGCACCAAACTACTAGGGGCGGTTTGGGGGCGTGACAAAGGTTGTGTAACATAGGCTTTCGGAAGCAAACAGTGGAAGTTCTTCAAGTGGAAACTGAGCATGCACTGGGCCTCCCTCGTTCCCGAGACTAGTTAATTAGTTAAATTATTAATTAGTTAGTCATAGTTGTGTTGTGGCTAATTAAAGTGTTGTAATTATTTAACTCGATTAGTTATTTAGTTCATTAATTCATGTTGTAATTAACTAGTTAACTAGTTTAATTAGTTTCTTTGTAATTAATTAGTTAATGTAGGTAGCTAATTAGCTTTGTATTGTACTTATTTAATTAGCTTGAAGTAGTTAATTAAATTGGTTCATTATTGTAATTATTTAATCAAATAGCTTAGATAGCTAGCTTATTTATTCAAGTTTTATAATAATTAGTTAAGTAGTTTAGCTTAGCTAGTTTATTCATTCGGACCCTCTTGCGCAAGGGCATCAATATTGTAATAATGTGTATGTCTTTCAACCCCATGTTTTTCTCCATTTTATTTATCCGCTTTTGATGGTTAGATTAGGAGTACCACGTTTCAATTAGTATATCGCATGTTTGCATCCATTCATTTGTCTTGCATACACCGAGGCTCGATTCATCATTCAAACTTGCATTATCGTTTATTACCTCGTCGAATACGTGTTTAAACGCATGTTATGAAATTGTTGCAAATAACAAGTTAAGTAGCCGAGCCTACTTTAGTTGCATTATTGCATGTGTTGCATTAGCCATATTGCCTAGTTAGGTATTATGCATATTTTTTTCTAACTCTTTTGTTTTATCTTATCTTGGAGTACTAGGTGAGTTTTTTTAGTGCTTTAGCATACTTGCATGAGTGTGAGTGACTGCCATGACTAGCATGCTTGCCGTGAGGCTAAGTGCTTACTTGTTAAACTATTTGAATGCCTGTGGATAAAGGCTTGTTTCTTGAATTGTGATGATTCGATGAATGTATGTTTAAGCCCATTTTATCAAGTGGCAAATTCATAAGCTTTAAGCCCACTTTGTCAAGTGGCAAATTCAAACCCTTTTCGAAAAACAAATATGAAATTAAATTGTTCTAATTTGAGCAAACTAGTCTATACCTTCTGTGTCCACATCACATAGATAAGAATCACAATCATGAATAGTAGAGGCCGATCTTTGATCGGACAAGTGAGGGCGCTCAATTCATGACCTTCCCCTCTCGTACCTATGTTTCTGAACCGAGACAATCTTGGTGATGATGGACATATGGCCTTTGGCACGAGTCATGGGCTTCTTAAATTTTTCAAAAATAAAATATTTAGGTGACGACTCTGTATCTAGCAGAGCAGTCCATTTTTGGTAATTTGATTAAAAATTAATTTTTCAAAAGATTTATCGGATTTGGACTCTTTGGTGTTTATCTATTTCACATTGCACTTGTGGAATCAGATTCAGAACCGCGGGAGTCCGAACTGTAGAGCTTCTTTGTCTTCCGAAAAGGGGCGTAAAAAAGTTGAGCTACACTCGGCCTAGGTTATACAAGTTATGGAACATGGTTGCTAGGTATTGGCTAAGGTGTACAACTAGACAATAAGGTGCCCAACACGGCTGCAAGGTTCAAGGATCAAAGATCTCTGATGCCTACGTGATCCACACCTTGGCCTAAGTGCGAGGGTGGAGGTGGAGGTCAGGTACGATGGTTCCAAGATAGTCCTAGGTGTTGTCGCTTAATGGCCTAAGTGTCTAAGGTCTAATGGTGTGAACTAGGTGTGAGATAGCAAAGGTAGATAGCCTAGGTTCAACACACAAAGTATAGAACAAAGCATGAATCTTATACCTAGGCAAAGTACAATCGCATCAAAACAAGACAGGATCTCACACTTAGACAAAATATCAAAATTTACAAACTCTAGCTTAACAAACCAAAATCATTTAAATTTTCATAAATATGACTAAAGCAAAATGAGTGTTGTTATACCAATGCAACATATTAAAAAACTCCTTATTGTATATTTCTCAAATGTAACAATGTAACATTTTTAAAAAAAAACTTCTTCGTGTATTTTTTTTTCCAAACGTAAGAACATAATATTCCAAAAAAATATCTTATGATACTTTTTCCAAACGTAACACTCCAATTAATGTAACACACAAAAACTCCTTCATGTACTTTTCCAAACGTAACACTCTAATATAACATACTAAAAAACTCCTTAGTGTATTTTTCCCAAACGTAATAACGTAACATTCCAAGAAAAACTCCTTAGTGTACTTTTTTTCTCAAACATCGTTTGAGCACGTGATGACTTTTCGTCCATCAAACCTAATAATCGTTATTTATTAAACCAATATAACGCAATCTGTTAAATTAAGGGACAAAATCGACCAAAATAGAGACCAAATTGACACATCGTGTAAACTATAAGGACTATTTGTATAATTTACTCTTTTTTTTTTGTTGGTAGAATAATGACAATTTGTAGTTTAGAAATTAAGTTACATATTTTGTGATTAAAAAAAAAGGATAAAAAATGTGTGAAATTATCACAAAAATGCGCAACTTCACTTTTGAATCACAAATTATCGTAACTCTACCAGAAAACTATGTAACAATTACCACAAAAAACGTAACATACACCCAAAAGTATATAACTAGGTGTATATGGCACACACTTTTTAAGGGGTGTTTACCATAGCATTTTCCAACATAATGAGAAATTCTATGGTACACATCCTAAAAGGAGATGTGCACATATGCCCCAATTACGACGTTTGTGATATTTGATTATGATATATTGTGATTTTAGTTGTGATTTGGTTATGACTCGTTGTGATATTAATTATGACTTAATGTAATGTTGGTTATGATGTATTAGGATTATTATTTTGGTTATTATTCAAAAGATCTTTAGTTATACTTTATTTGGAGTTTGGTTAAGACTAAAAATGATTTAGTTATGATATTTATGATAACTAACCCCACAAATGTCATAACTTGTAACCATAGCATAATCCTAGTACAATAGATAGGTAGATATATAAAAAAAAAAAAAAAAAAGAAATTGATATACAAGTCCACATTTTAGACCCACAATTTAAATCTAGCGATGTGTAAGAGCAACTCTAACACCATACTCTTTGGCCATGTTTGTTTGGGCGGACTGGATTAGCATTCCCATGACTAATAGTCCTAGGACTATAAATTTGTTGGATTATGTATCCAATCTTAACTAATAGTCAAGTTTAAAATAATTAATTCCTACTTCAATTGTTTAACCAAACATCGGATTAATAATTTTATTGGACTATTAGTCCAATCCCAAGTTCATGTCTACCCAAACAAACATGACCTTTATGTTTTATTACATATATTATTTATTTTGCCTAATTTTTTTATTATGTTTTTTTTTGTTTTTTTTAGCTATGCACTCCAATGGTACTCTTTATTTTACCTATTTATTTAAAGAAATTGTTTGAAAAGTCTCTCAAGACTGTCCAAATGTAACTAGTATTGGAATTTTTTGTTAAAATATGTATTGTAATAGCTAACCAATTAGAGTGATTAAAATAAGACAATACTAATTCTAATAGCCAACACGTGTTTTTTAAAGAACACTTTGGAGATGCTCTGACTCATAATTAAAGAAATATGAGAGAGAAAATTGTCTTAGATTGTCTAATAGACCGCCATCATTAGAATACTTAAGATAACTATCTCTCTCATATATATATATATATATATATATATTTAATTATTAGCTAATTATTTTTTTTATACATCATTAAATTTAGAATGTGAATGTAAAAAATGAGTTATGTATAATTTTCCTAGACATATTACTTTGGTTTGGTTAGTCACGTGACCTCGGCTTGTATGCAAATGCGGGTCTGGTGACAGACATATTAGATGTGTCATGTGATAGGTAAACTGTCATGAAATTTTTCATACCCTTCCCTACCATTTCCTCTCTCCCATTTGATCTCCATATGTTTCTTTAGAGAGAGAAAGTGATAGATCCATTGTGTGTGAGAGAGAGATGAAGATGAAAATGATAATATGAGAGAGCTGTATCCAATCATCATCTCCATGGTCCCCTCCTTTGTCGGCCAGTGCCATCACCATCTCCATCAGTAATGGGTATATGTACTGTTTTCATTAATTCCTTACCCTTTTTAATCTATCATTTTTTTTTTTTAATGAAACTCTTCTTGTGAGTTCTTGAAATGGGTACCAAACCAATAGTTCTAACTGTTTCTTTTCTCCTCTCAGGCAAGCTTGAATTATACATCAAAACCATACAATAAACATTTACATACATATAGCTTTTTTTTTCTTTTTCTTTTTAGTTGTTATAAATGGCTGGAATGCTCCCTGGAGTTGAATGTGCCCGGAGGCGGCGGTTCCACCAAAGCGGAGGGTGGGCTGATTCACCAAACACCAGCACGGGGCACGGCTGGACAAGGCGGCCGTCTTTTTGTTTATATACAAGCAAACATGGATCCCCTCTCAGCTTAAGCTCTTCCCTGGTACTACTAAATGCTTATCACTAGAAGAATTACTAAATTTTTTATTTATTTATTTTTTTTTTTGACAATTGATTCACTGATAATAACTTGATTTTTTTGTTTTACGGCTTCAGCTTTTAGAAGAGTCGCTGTCTATATTAAGTGTTTGATAAAATTAATGTGAATGATAAAACAGAAAAGGAACACAGAGAACCAGGCACATCAAGATGAGAAGCTGGGAGGAGTGGCTAGAGAAGCCAAGGAGAGGTTGAATGAGAGGCTGAGAGCACAAAGGAAATCAGAAACCAAAAGGTAATTAGAAATTTTTTTATTTTAATTTATTTTGTGATATTTGATGGCATTTAAAATTCCATCTCATCACAACAACACCCATATTATCCAAGACACCAGTGGTCCGCATGTGTATGCTTAGCTACACCATTCTGATTGTCTCTGTGAAAAAGTTAAGCAAGTAGGAAACTCAGCCCAAAAAGTATTAGCCATACCATCATATATCAGATGTTATTTGATAGTATCAATTGATATATATGTCTAAAGATCGATATTAAAAGTTCAGAACTCTAATACATATTATGCATCGGTCAATATTTAAAATTCTGTCAGGAGTTATGAAGTGTGTAGAGTAGATTTAAATTTAACCTGATATCACTCGTATACTCCAATTGAATATTCAAACTCCAATATTTTATTGCGTGAATCTATCTGGCCCATTCACTACATTTACCAACATTTTAGATAATTTTAGTTAATTACACTAAGACTCCTTCAACGGCTCCTTCAACTATTCGTCAATATCTCTTACCACCTCATTTATGACCCTTACATTTTGAATTCTTTTTCTATAAAAATGTATCATTTTCACTTCGTTTCTACCCATTTCCACATGGGGTCATTTGTACAGTTTTAGAGTAGAGGGTGTAAAATGTATAAGTTCATAAATAACCGAAGTAAATTGATATTCACTACTAGTTGAGAAACTCTTAATGTAATTAATTGCATAATTTTTTCTAAATCCAAACAAGCACTTTTTCTTTTCTTTTCTTTTCTTTTTTTCTCCTTTCTTTTTGCCCCCTCATTTTTACAATTAAATTAATTCAGGAACAATAACCCAGAAAGCTTGAGGTGCATAGAGGGAAGAACTGTGATATCAAGGGATTTGCAAATAGAGGTGTTTAGATTAAAGAAAAATGCGTCAAGCAGGATGTTCAGTTGTGCAAAGCTGGGGTGGAAGGGCACAGACCAAGGTGAGTGTGCCATTTGTTTGGAACAATTCAAGTCTGGTGAGACCCTGGTCAACCTACCATGCTCCCACAGGTTCCATTCTAGGTGCTTGGTCCCATGGCTGGAGACCAATGCTCACTGCCCTTGTTGCAGAATGGAGATTTGAATTATACAAAAAAAACAAAAACAAAAACAAAACAAAAACAAAAACAAAAAAAACAAAAAAAGGTGTTTCAAGTTATGTTATTTCTCTTCTTTGTTCTGTAAATTTTAGTCATAAAAATTACTTGAATGGCCTTCCAGTTAAAAAGGATTGGTTTGCACAAACTTCTGCATGATATGAGAGTTGGTATATATTGCCTGTTTTTTTCACTATATTATATAACGGAGTCAATGCAACATATTATTTACTTTCATTATTATTTAATAATTCTTTAAATCGAAGAATCAATCTTTTTTTTTTTTTTTTTTTTTGATTAAAAAAGAATCAATCTTTTTTTTGATTCAAAAATCAAAAAATCAATCATAAATATGTACGGTGATATAAAAAGATTAAAACGAATTTGTATTAGTGTTTGTCATATGTAATGATAGGTGAAGGTGATTCATATATCTGACCCAAAAAAATAAATAAATAAATAAAAAGTAAAGTAAAGGTGATTGATTTCTAAATTGGATGAGTAACTTGAATGAATTTTCCTATTGAGAGGAATGTATTCCAATTCAATAACTTTCATAAATAGGGTAAATTATACAAATATTTCATGTAATTTATACGATATGTCAATTTGGCCTCTGTAGTTTCAATTTACTTGATTTTATCCCTTAATTTAACGGATTGTGTCATTTTAGTCTAATAAATAACGGTTGTTAAGTTCATTTAACGGAAGGTCAAACAATGGTCAATTTGGTCCCTGTACTTTACACGATGTGTCAATTTGGTCCCCATAGTTTTAATTTTCTCAATTTTGACAGGGACTAAATTGACACATTGTGAAAAATATAGGGACCAAATTAACAAATTGTTTGACTTTCCGTTAAATTAACTTAACAACCGTTATTTATTGGACTAAAATGACACAATTCGTTAAATTAATGGGCAAAATCGAGTAAATAAAAACTACAGAGACCAAATTGACACATCGTTTAAACTGCATGGACTATTTGCATAATTTTCCCTTCAGAAATATTATATACCTTAAAAAAAATAGGGCAAATGACACGTGTAACTCATGTACTTTGGTCCTTATAATTTTAAATTGAATAAATTATTTTATTTTTTCTATCAACAAAAAAGAAACTATATTGATGTAAGAATCAAATACAAAGTGCAAAACAAATAGCATCAATAAATAAAAGGGAAGTGCAAAGCATTACAATGAGCTAAATCATCCAAACTTGGTTGGCACCAAAAAGCACATCATATAATTTGCTAGCACCCCCAGAGTTGGCGAGAGACCAACAAACTCAGCCACCAAACTAGCTAATGTAACAAACAAAACAAAAATAGACCAACAAAACAGACCACTAGTAGAGCCTAGCAGACTAACTAGAAGAGCTTAGCAGACCAACGTAGCACAACTAGCTGAGCAGCCAAGAAGTAAAACACCCAAACTCAGCAGCAAACAAACCAACACAGCAGCAACCATACTCAGACCACCCTCATCCATCTCTGCTGACAGAATACAGGTCCTACCAGTAAAAGCCCTTGTGGACACCCAATTTTTGACCGCCTGCAAGCCTTGAGCGCTTTGCTCGATACACTCGACGATGAAAGTGATGTTGTGCGTAGATCGAGGTCTCAACGAATGAGCCTTATTTAAGCTTCGAAACAACCCCAAACCTCTCATATTCCCACTGATTATACCTAAAAAATTCATTTGTACACCTTGTGCCACCTTGTGTTGAGGCTGAAACAGAAAAACAGGGGAATTCATTGAGGCTCGGTCGTGCCTCATTGAGGGTCGGCCAGGCTTTAGTAGCGAGAAATACTGTTCTCAGCGAGAGGCCGCCAGTTTTTCATTTTTGAAGATATTTATGATATTTTTGGCTCAAATTCTATGTAAACAACCATATATCTCTGTTTTGGGGGTTGAACAATTGAGAAAAAGCCTATACACATAGAAAGAGCTCTTTCTTCCTCCTTCTTCCGTTGCAAGCTATCTTTGAGCTAACATACCTTCCTTGTATCATCTATATACACCATACACAACCTTGACATATCATCTTAGAGCCTTGGTTGACCCTTGAGAAGCATAATTCAAGTTTAAGAATGTGTCAATAGTGAGTTTGATCATCAACCAAAGCTTATTCCATTTTGAGAGGTATAAGCTTGCAACTCTTGTTCTTGCTTTTTTGTGCGTGGTTCGATGTCTCAACGAAGGAGCCTTATTTAAGCTTCGAAACAACCCCAAACCTCTCATATTCCCACTGATTATACCCAAGATATTCATTTGTACACCTTGTGCCACCCTGTGTTGAGGCTGAAATAGAAAAACAGGGGAATTCATTAAGGCCTGGCTGTGGCTATTGAGGGCTGGCCGAGCTTCCGTACTGAGAAACACTATTCTGGGCGGGAGGCCGCCAGTTTTTCATTTTCGAAGATATTTATGATATTTTCGGCTCAAATTCTATATAAACAACCATATACCTCTATTTTGAGGGTTAAACAATTGAGAGAAAGCCTATACACATAGAGAGAGCTCCTTCTTCCTCTTTCTTCCATTGCAAGCTATCTTTGAGTTAACCTACCTTCCTTGTATCATCTATATACACCATACACAACCTTGACATATCATCTTAGAGCCTTGGTTGACCCTTGAGAAGCATAATTCAAGTTTAAGAATGTGTCAATAGTGAGTTTGATCATCAACCAAAGCTTATTCCATTTTGAGAGGTATAAGCTTGCAACTCTTGTTCTTGCTTTTGCTTACTTCATTTCTATCTCTTTCTTGTATTCTTGGGCTATTTTGCATCCATTTCAAGTGTTGGAATTTGAGTTTGGATAAGCTACGAAAGGTGGTAAGGTTAACACCCTTACTTGCACCTATCTTTATAGCTCCACCCTTGGTTCCTTTACACTATTCTCCTTTGATTTTTCAATTGATTTTCAGAGTTGAACTAAGGCCAAAAAACATGGTTTGAAGTCTTGAAAATGGAAGGGTTGGACATCCCTCCTTGTTTTTGCTTACATAGCTTTAGTATCTTTTCTTTTTGCTTAGCTTTTTCAGTTCTTTTCTTACATTTCCAGCCACTGTTTTGGCTTATTAGAGACTGTTTTAGGGTTGTCCTAATCTATTTAATTGATTCAAGCTTTGATTAATTCCTTTGTTGTAGCATTGGTCGTTGTACATAACCTGTGTTATGTTGTTCTAAGTCTTTCTTTGTCTAACTTTTGTGTTAATAACCTCATTTTAAGAATCAACTTGCCATCCCTTTCTTTCATTTGAGAATTGTTTCAATCGGTTGACGGTTATTCAACACATGAACTAGAGATTCACGCTTAATGGCTTAATCTCTACGGTATAATCTCTCTTTCATGTTGAGAATTACTTCCCATTTGACGCTTCTCTCCTTTTGGAGGACTTAATCATCAATTTAGATAAATGAACTAAAGAATAGAAATGACTGAGAGAATTAGTTTAAAAGTAACCAACACACAGAAAGAAAATGAATCATATTGTTTGGGCTTGGTCGGCCGTTATGCCAAGTTTATCGAGTCAAGAGTGGTCATACGCTAATTCGTGCCATTTTGATGATCCTTGAAGCGTCTCTACTTTCCTTTTTTGAGTTCATTCCATGATAAAGAGAGGGGAGTGGTCATATTCATTGATTTTTGTCCAAAATTGTATCCAAAATCAAGCAATCAACTTGCTCATCGATGGTTTTGAAAACAATTATAACATTCTCTCAAGACTTTCCCATGACAGAGAAGGAAGACAGAGACAAACAGAGCTTGAATAACTCTGTCTGCACTGTTTTCACTTCATAACACAAAATAGAGTTTTGCACAAAATTGAGGCATGGTCGCCCTTCTTTAGGCCCGGCTGGGCTTCATTGAGGGCCAGCCGGTCCTCAATGTTTGGTTAGCAGTGTAGTTTTGCAAAAAATAGAGGACAGTGGCTGAGGTGAAACAAAGCAGGCCTGGGGTAGACAGAGGTGCTCTTGAACATTGTACATATGCATATATGCAATCCTTGTGCATCCTCGCTTACATTATGATCATCGTTGTAATTAATTGTTTATTGTAATTAGTCTCACTAATCATTAATGTTGTAATTATTATTATTGTCCCTTTGTAATTATTATAGTTACTTAGCTTAGAGAGCTAGTTTATTTATCGTGGTTATCCTTGTTGTAATAGCATAGTTAGCTAGTTAATTAGCTTCGCTTATTTATTCATTCGGTTTGTAATAGTTACTTTATTCGGACTTTCAGACTTTGATTCGCACCCTTTTGCACAAGGGCAAATGTTGTAATAATGTATATGTTTTTCAAAACCACGTCTTTCTCCCTTTTACTTACTTGCTTATGATGGTTACTATAGGATATCACGTTTCATTAGCATTCTTATGCTTTTCATCCATTGTCTTACATACATCCAAGGTTCGGCTCATCACTCAATACCCAATGTTCAAATTCATTGCTTGAATACGTGCTTTATCGCATGTCTTGAATGCAATCATATGTCATGCTCATAGTCGAGCCTATAAAATACAAAATGTGTGCGTTGCATTAGTCACATTGCATAAGTTAGGAACATGCATACTTTTCTAACTCTTTCACCTGTTTTGGCTCGGAGTACTAGGTGAGCTTTTATTACTTTAGCATGTTGCATCAAATGTTTGTGTTGTCATGATAAAGCATGAATACCATGAGGCTAAGTGCTTAAATGATATAATCGTTTGAATGGCTATGGATGAAGGCTAGTTGTTGAATTGGGATGGCTTGATTAAATGTTCATTTTAGCCCACTTTTTTGAATGACAAATTCACAGAACAATTTTTGAAACAAAACATGAGATCAAGTGTTCCAATTCTAGCAAACTAGTCTATACCTTGTGTGTGCATCACATAGTAAAAATAGCTAATAAATTAGAACAAGTGCATATAATGTAAATAAGAATCACATTATGATTAGTAGAGGCTGATCTTTGATCGGGCGAGTGGAGTGCTCAATCTATGACCTTCCTCTCTCATACCTAAGTTCCTGAGCCGAGACACCTTGGTGATGATAGATTAATGGCCTTTGGCACGAGTCTTGGGTTTCCTAAATTTTTCAAAAATATTTTGGTGGCGAATCTAAAATCTGGCAAGAGCAATCCATTTTTGGCATTTGATTCGAACATTGATTTTCCAAAAAGAGTTTTTGGATTTGGACT